AATCAGCGTTCTATACTGCATCGAATGGTATGCAGCTTGCTTGAATTGTCCACTTCGATTTCTGACCATTCCCTTGTGAGTAATATTTGGTGAAAGCACAGCCATTAAAAGCAAAAAATGGAAGAAATGAGATTTTGGTTGGCTTCTAATTCCACAGTTTGCAGGCCTTCTGAAGCGGGATTGAGGTGGACAAAGAAGGAGTAGTGCTTTGTCGTGAGTGCAAAAACGGATAGCTAATTCACTTTTGAAACAAAGTTAACCATGTTGGAAAATGACCATTTCAGTTAGGTAGCCTAGTATCTTGAATCTTCAGAGTTTGCTCAAACTTTGTCTACAGGGGTTGATTGACATGTTAATTATGGATATGTTGCCCATTATGTTTGACAAAGCCTTCAGGTAATGCTATCCTAGGTATATAATTCAGGGGAGGGGTCTTATTAAGACAGCAATCAGGAGGGGGGGGGGTCGTAACCAGCGATCGTGTGCCACACCCCTTGGTCGACCCTGGTACGAACCCCTCAATAAGGCGCCGCTTCTATGGGCTGCTGATCCTTTTGTCCTAGTGTTGTACATCGTGTGACCAATAGCCCGCGTTATCGCCTGTGAATGGCCCATATCGCGTCAGGACCCGACGTCTCCAGCCGCTTGGCGCGCTGGTGTCCAAAGCGAGGCGTAGGCAATTGGAATTTACAAGCTAGTACTTACCATCGCTTCCCATGCTGCGAGGGCGAAGTTATGCGAGCGTATCATCGGTGTGAATGTCCAATGCTTAGGCATAGATGATAAATTGTTTATCGGTTGACCATCGCGCCCGCCCCTAGCGCCAAAATCTGTGAGCCGATGTGTCGAGACGCAGACTAATTAGATGGTCCGACAGTCCCCAGTTGGCGTGGGGACTGTCGGACCATCTAATTAGTCTGCGTCTCGTGCGAAAGCCGCTTTTTCCTATGAGCCCTTTTCCCCCTGTCCACTTGCATTCGAAGAGCAATCCAGCAATGAAGCCCACACCTGGCGATGAACAACACATACCCTGAGTTCAACCAAAGCAGCACAACAAATGGTTTAGGGGCAACTTTGATGACGATTTAGCACCCTCTTGCACTAAGTCGAAGCAGTAACAGACAAATGGTACATGGGCAGTTTTGATGACGATAATTGTATCAACAATGCCCTCTTGCCCTCAAACGGAGCAATGATGAAACAAATGGCAATAAGCAGTTCGATGACGACAATGGTTTCCTTCTCCCAAGCCATGGTCAAAGATGAAAGCTCGGGACGAGCTTTACTATGGAATGGACATGTCGAGACGCAGATTAATTAGATGGTCCGACAGTCCCCACGCCAACTGGGCGGTGCCCAGCAACTCCAGATGAGCTGTGCCTAACCGGGTGACCGGCGGTTTCCCTTCCCCTCTTATCATTTATAAATATATAATAAAGATTCTAGTCATGATGTTATGTTCATATGAAGTAAGAGGGTGAAGGATTCAAGTCAGGAGAGTGCACCTCTTGGACTTGACAGATGACATAGGCAGCTCTGTGCCGAGATATACACCACTTCTTCCCATTTCCAATTTTAATTGAGTTTGATGCCTGCTTACCTCTGAGAGTACATTTTCTACCATATCCGCCTTTCAAGTCACTGTTATATTTCCATGCCTTTCGCTCGTTTCTTTTCATTTTGGCTGGCCGGAGTGTGCCGATGTTGTCGGCACTCTCACAAGCTTATCGTTCCTCCTAAGCTTGGAACTTGGAAGCTTGGAATCCTATGTAGCTTGAGGACACAACTCGCGACCTTGAGTGATATAATTGTATTGACATGCATTACCTTGCTTTGTTCCGCCTAAGAGGAGCGGCATTCTACCACTACCGAACGAGGGTATTTGATGTCTCAATAGCTGTTATATGCTTATGTGTACTGTAACACACAGGAGCTATCAAACTCCAAATATCGGCTTAAGACTGGTCAGCCACCACATCTTAGACTTAACCATAAGACTGGTAAAGTCAGCATATTTTTATGGTGCATCGGCCAAATTATGACCGATACAGTGCTCCTAACAGCACAAAGGTAGCCCAGCCTACCTTGGGACCAGCTCCCTAAGAGCCACTGCTCTGCCTGCAACGAGCATAGGCAATCATAATCGGAGTGACACATACACTCATATTTCGCAAATTAACGCGATTGCGGTTGATAAGACTGCAAAAAACAGACTGAGAATGACACCAAAGGTGTCACTCAAACACCAGAAAGAGGATATTCTGCAGCGCTCACAAGTGCTTGCAAGCCTACAAGTTCGAATCTTACAATGTTTTTGAGCCAACATTGGATTTTGACACAGAATACCAAATAAGATGCTCTGAAAACGTACATATTCTTATACTCTTACATACTAATACTGTAGGAAAAGCGTTTTCCAGTTCTTCCGTCTGCACATTGATGATCGATTCAAAGAGATTCGCTAAGAAAGTTGCAGCCTCGTTGGGTATTAGTAACTGTGTGGTTGAAATCGGCCTTGTCGCGGAGACCAGTGGCCGTATTCATTAACTAACCTTTGAGTATTGTATTCTAGTGCAAAGAGCGCTGCTCTCACGCAAAATCCATGGGATTCTGCGTGTACGCCCAGGAAAATGAAGTATTGCCTGCAGTTATATTTAGCATGCTGATGGCATACGACAGCCGATCGTCTTGTCATCTTAATCTTTTGTTTGCAGAATTTTTGCTTCATAGGAACATCCCGCCGGGGAGGAATGGCGCTTCAGAAGAAGCTTCATATTTCAAGCTCCAGAAATGTGATTTGACGCTGTTCTTCTTTGAGTGTCCTTACTATCCTTTTATAGACGTTGGACAAAAACTGCCGCTCGAGCTGCGTTGTACGATTTCTTGCAAGAACTCCGATAATCTTGAGCGGCAGATTGTCTTGTCATTTTCCTCCTCCTAAGCAAATGAAAACATAAACAAGTAGTGTTGATCACTTGATGCAATAGTGTTGATTTGACAAGAACGAAAGAGTTATTAAACGACTTTCCGTAAACCTCGGGTCCTAGGGTGTGGTCCATTGAAGTCTTCGTTATTTTGATTACACATGTTCCTATCAGAAACATGCTTAGCATTGTTGCCATCAGCATCTTTGAGATATTTCCATCAATCCCAAAGACAGAATCCATTACTTGCAAGGTACAATCCATCTCTAGTAGTACGTATCGCTAGCTCACAGATTGTCGGGACGCATCCTGCGAGCGGTCCTTCAGTGTGGGGCATAGTAAGTAAACCGCTTTCCAGCAATCTATGAACCAGTCGTACACTTTTTACGTAGCAATCATATACACATCTGTAGTACGAGGGTCTTGAGTGTGGAAATCCAGTTGATGAGAACAAATCAAATGCCCAAGCCGTATGTGCGCGGAAAGTGCCAAGCTGGCGTACCGAGGCATGATGCAAAAGGGAGTACGTGATTGCCATAGACTATGCTCTAAGAAACCAAATTAAATCTAACTTTTCAAATATTATCCTGAGACTTTTGAGTACCTGAGGCAAAAGAATAATATTGACGCATTTTTTGATGCGAATAAATGGAACTCTGGGATTTGTTCAATATATTGTCCACAATATGATGTTTTAATAATATGAAACCTTGAGATTAAAATCTTCTTTGAGAGCCTGCCTTAGGTAGATTTCATCTCAAAGGCAGTGTCTCTCGGCAAAAATTCGCTCTCCAGTTTTCACCTTTTCGGGACTTCTTCGCCATGCTAAACTCTGTCTGAGCTGTGCAGCGCATGAAAATGGCGAAAATGGGCTTTTTTACTCTCCGTGTTTGCATTCGTTGAAAGTACGTGTAAGTGTGCGGTTTCAAGAACGAAGGAGCGGGGTCCGGAAGACTTCAGGTAGATTTTAGGGCTTCCCAGACGCGGTTTTTCGCTCCAGACGTCACTGATAAATTAGTTGGAGAGTTCGGCATTGCAACACTGTAAAATGCCAGTACCTATCATTTTGCCGACGCTGCCTTCAAGGTGACTTTGTTATTTACAACACTACCTCGAGGTTAAAATCTACCTGGTAGTCGCAGAGCGCTCACTGACGCTTATTCAGGACATGTCATGACGTATCAGTGGTGTACAGGGTGACCCAAAATGATGTGCACACTGTTTGATTGTTAATAACTCTCTTATCATGAGGTCTTTCGAGAATCGGTAAGCTCATTTTGTAGAGCTGGCCTCAACTTAAATTTAAAGTATAGAGCGAATCACCGACCGCTCTTCATTACTGTAGGATTACGGTAGAAATTTGGAACATATGGTGTCACTGTGGAAAAAGCTGCCGTTTCAAAAATTTTCAAAAAAATGTGAAAACTTGTGTAATAGGGTTTTTATCGACGCTGAATTCAATACTCAACTATTCTCAAGATTGTGAAGCTTTCTAAACGGTGTAACCACACTTTTCAGGAACATTGAGAAAATGGCCGCTACTGCTTACCTCGCATAACTCTTCAGTGAAGCATCATAATAAGTTGGGAACTTTACAGTTAGAATCAGCAACTCTAATTGGCCTAGTGTAAAAGTGTTCAGGCTGTTTTGATTCCTTTCTGAGGCAAAATATGGCCTTTCATGGCCCAAAACCCTCTTTCAAGTTTCTACCGTAATCCTACAGTAACGGAGAAAGATGGACGATTCGCTCTATACTGTAAGTCTAAGTTGAAGCCAGCTCTACAAAACGGAGCTTACCGCTTCTCGAAAGACCTCATAATAAAAGAGTTATTGACAATCAAACAGTGTGCACATTATTTTGGGACACCCTGTATAAGTCCTTTGCTGTTAGTGACCTGGCTGAGTTAAACCAGCTCTACACAATGGTATTTGACGTTCGTAAAGACATAAAAGCAAGGTAGCATCCAATGATCAAACAATATAGACTTTTTTACACTCTGTGTTTTAGCGCTGGCAAAAGTAATTCCAACTTGACTTACAAAGATAACTTGTAAAACGCTATCTCAACAATTACAGCTGCTACAACGTTTATTCATCGTGGATCTTGAGCGTGCAATGGAGCATGGAATGGATGTGCTTTTCTGGTCGACAATAAAGCACCTGATAGATCGCATACGTGAAGAAAAAGGAAGCGGTGCTCATAATGTAAGTCTGCTGGATTTTCGCCGTTCGAGCTTCTTCGTAGAGATAAGTTTAGCAATATGATAATCTTAAACACATCTAGCGATGCGATGAGCTACCTAATTGTGACTGGACAGGGTTCTTGAGAAAAATTCTTTGCTGAAAAGTGCATCTCTTCATTTGTTGAAAAAAGTGCGATCTTATTGTTAGCACAGAAACTGAGCGTGACCTACTCGGGCATCAAAAAAACCACCTTTAGAAGGTGAGGCGCTGGATTTTCCGACTGTCTTTGAGAGAGCAGATGACACCTCCTCAAATTATCAAAGGTAGGTGGTGATCCCAAGATTTTTTCTGAGAAACTGGGGGGGGGGGAGAGGAGGGGGAAAGCGAAAAGCATTGAATAAAGGTGCGTGGCATTAGCCAAGCACTTTGAAAACTTTTTGTGGGATGCTTCTCAAAAGTTTTTCGCGCCCATAATCCCAAAATTTCATAGAATAGGGCCTCGGCAATACGCTCCTGAAAAATGATTAGAAAGCTAGTTTGAATATTTTAAAAATTCCAAAAACTATTCCAATCATTTACAAGTATAAGAAAAATCACTTGCACATTCTTACAACTCATGTAATTAACTTCCAAAATTAAGCGACCTATACTGAGGGACAGAACGCCCCCTCCCCCCTTTCCGCCTCTCCACAATATTTTAGTGCCATCAAAATGAAGTTTATGGGGAATTTTGAGAACACGGTTGAGTAATTAAGTTGTAAAGAGAATTCCGCCAATTCTTCTCAAAATTACCAGAAATGAATGCGACTGCAAGGGTCAGGTTTGGGATGTGTTAGTTGCAGCTACCAAATACGTTATTCAGCTCTTAAAAATAACGATAAATTGAAAGGTACACCAAAAAAAAATCCGTTGCGTTCTCTGCAAAAAGTCACGTTTCTCAGATTATAGATGCGCTGAACTTGCAGGTTTGATAAAAATCCCTTTTATCCTTCGTTTGGTTAGATGAAGCGATATTCGACTATCAATTGCACCGGAACCTGGGCCTTTTTTTTCAAGCAAGAAGGAGCCCACCAATTTGAAGGTCCAAAAAATCGAACTCTCCACCTGTTTTGAAACCCAGCCAGCTTGCTTCTTCATCTTTGATATACCTAATCAGCAGTACATATGACCAAATAATCGTTGATAGACAATCACACATGATGAAGATATAAATAAGACAATTTACTCAACTATTCTACTGGCAAAACTTTTTTACAACCCAATATTCTCAAGGTATTTCGACATGCTATTTCCACAATTTGGACTAATTTCGATTTCTCAAAGTATCTGTGCGGATTTCTGCTATGTTCACTCATATATTCCAGAAACCCGGCAATAAGATTGTTATAAGCAATAGTCTAACACACATAGCACCAGTTCGTAACGAATGTTTCTTTGGCCATTCTATGTGAAAATCTGTATGCGCATCAGTAAGAATGTCTCTTACCCTCTTCAAAAAGAACCTAGGCAGGCGTCGGTCTGGCACTAAGCACAAATGGTTTACGACTCACAGGGAGCGAAATAATTTTTTGCTACGATTTGCTTCCAGAACTTCGACAATGTGGTTAATTTGTGCGTGTCATGGATGTGCGACATGGCTCTGAAGGCAAGTGCCAGATACCAGCTGCCTTCTCTTGACATCCCTGCGTTCATCTCACATTCCACTGGACTTCGCGAGGATTGCACCGAGTTGGTAACTCCAAACACGGGAAACGCATTCCTCGCTTTTGTCTGTTTGCGATTGGGCGATCTGTTCAGATATAAGGTGAGTCGCGGCATTTAGTGCAGCATCTAATCTGCCCCAAATTTCAAATTTATAAAAGTGTTACAGGGAAGTTACGACCTTTGTGTACGTTTGTACAGATGTAGTCTTCGAGCCAATCCCTCTTACGGAGATCCATGGAATCAGTTAGGCGTCATAGCCACGCTCAGGTATGATAATATCGTTACGGACCAGCGTTCACTACTGCACTATGTACAATATTTCGATTATTAGAGTTTTCTAACAATTAAATTACCTCACATCAGTAGCTTTGAAACGATTTTGAGAGTTGCCATATAGTCTAGCACTGTACTGCAATTTTTTTTTATGGAGGGAGCCAAAAATCTCCTAATTGTTAGGAAGAAACTGTGCTATCCGGGAACCCTGAAATTTGCAGACGAGTGAACTTCATAGAATTATAATTCGTATATAAACAAAAAAATCATATGTTCCTTCACATTCAAATTTGTGCGAATTCCCGCTAGGGGAAGGGGGCACCCGTGCGGTCATTCATATTTAGAGAATTCGGCCTTAGTCATCAGGTCACAGTAGTGAATTCATTAACTAGATTTTAAACATCTTAATAAATTCGAACTTTGGAAACTCAATAGAGAAAATCTAGTTTGAAAATATACAACAAAGCGATCCATTTTTACTAGTGTTGTTGACTGATAGCACAGTATCGTAATAACATGCAAATCGTCAGGTGTGTCTTTTTATGTTAAAACGACGAGTTTGGTCCAGGTATGCAAAAATATTTCGGCTCAAAAAAATTCTATTTTTGAATCCGCAAGAATAAAAATGTTGAAAATTAACACCATTCCTGTCTTCCCAGCATTACGTTCTAGAAATGTTTTTTTTTCGCGAGTGCTACATAACCTCCGAAATTCCCATTATATTGCGTTTGAATTTGCTTTAGAAAATTTTTATGAGTTTTATTACAGTTGAAGTAAACTTGGTGGTTAGTGAATAAGGCAGAGCTTTTGCACTGCTACCTTCATCGCATCTTCTTGTTTGTAGAAAAATTTCTGAATATTTTTTTTACGAAACTCGAGAATTTCTGACGAAATCCCGTGATTGAAAATTTCACCAAATATTAGGTTGTCCGGAAATTAATGCCCGTTATAAATTTCAACCGCAATAAGTCATACACTTCTCATTTTTAATTAGATTGCAAAGTACCATTCGATAGAGCAAAGCAAGCTCTACAAGATGGCCATCTTGCTTTTGCAGCAGCTCTCATCCACCTCGAGTTTCGACCCAAAAACCAAAAAGACTCAGCAGCCCGAAAAATCGAAAAAAATCGTAACTCGTTTCATACAAATCCTATAAAAATTCTAACTTGCTCACGTAAACACTATCCACATAAAACATCTATATACGTCTTTGCCGTATTTTTTTCCTCTGTTAGATATCAAGAAAACGGAAATTCTTGTGCATTTGCCAAAGTGATGCTGTGTTGTCCCCACATAGATAGTTGTATACCACATGCTTGCAGAAGTATAGGCTTGAATTTTCAGCTCCCTACAAGCTTTAGTTCTCGAGAAATACCGAGTACAGCTTCCTAGTTAGGTGGTCCAAACTAAAATTCAAATTTCTCGAGAACTAAAGCTTGTAGAGAGCTGAGAATTTACGTTTGTACTTCTAAAGGTTTGTGGTATACAACTACCTATGTGGAGACGGCACAGCATCACTTTGGCAAATGCACGAAAATTTCCGTTTTCTGCATTTCTAACAGAGGAAAATATATGGCAAAGATGTATAAAGATGTTTTATGTGAATAGTGTTTACGTGGCAGGTTAGAATTTTTGTAGAAATTTTATGAACTGAGTTACGATTTTTCTCAATTTTTCGGGCAGTTGAATCTTTTAGTATTTGGCTCGAAACTCGAAGTGGATGAGAGCTGCTGCAAGCAAGATGACCATCTTGTAGAGCTTGCTTTGCTCTATCGAATGGTACTTTACAATCTAATTAGAAATGAGAAGTGTATGACTTATTGCGGTTGAAATTCAAAACGGGCATTAATTTCCGGACAACCATACTAGGAAATCTTCGAACTTGGCAAATCTAATAACTAGGCAATTGTAGCCACAAGTGAAGATTCAGAAATTTTTTACATATAGCGAGTTTGTGAGCCAAATAAATGTTGTAAGATAGAACAGCTACGAAAAAAGTGATAAAAACTGCATCATGGTGTCTGAATTGCATCGGTTGATGTTCTCTGTTGGGCATAATGAAGTGGTCATTTTTTAAGGAAATACTGAGTGCGGGAATACTAAGTGGTCATTTCTAAGGAAATACTCGAAGCAGGGCTCTGCGCAGTGAAAACGAGTCGTGGATCGAGCTGGTATCGTTTTCGAGCGGAAAAATAAAGGGATATCGTTTGAGCTTGCTAAGCGTCGACCAAGATATCAGCCACACTTTATTCACGGCCAACGTTTCGGCGGGATCGCCTTCGTCAGAGCCTAGAAAGTCGAAAACATAAGTGAAACATTCTCCTAGACGCAAAGGGATATCGTTTTTGTGGGTTAGTATGACTACTCTTTATGCGGTTCCATTATGCTAACATTGGTCTCTTCTCTTTTTTTTTTGTTCGTTTTTATTAATCCGTTCGCCTCATTCGCAGAGAGGGGAGGGGCGAGGTGGAGGGAAATCAGAGGATGAGAGAAAGAAAGGTAAAAATTTTTTGTTTTTTTTTTGTTTTCGGCTTTTTGCCCTTTAGTCTAGGTTGGACCACAGTCCCGCACAAAATGGCACAAGGCCAAGTAGAGAGGAGTGAGGAGCGCTAAAAATGATAACCAGGGCACGGCACAGGTGGCTTAACAAGCAAGCTGGATATCGTTTTTGGGGAAAAAGCAAAGGGGATATCGTTTTTGCGGATGAGCATAACGTTGTCTTTCGATTTGCGGCCGGCACGCTGCCGGCATGCCGCCAGCAAATAAACAAAGGGTTTGTTTACAGCGAATTGAAGATGAAATGACACCAAAATAGGTGTGTAGATGGGCAATGGGGAGTTAGGACTAACAAGGGAAAGGTCAGAAGTCGAAGTGGCCAATCCATACAAGCTGTATACCATTGAATGCAGTATAAAATACTGACTCTAAATCTGTCTTCTTTATCTGCAGAGCGCTTTTGTGGACGAAATTATAAGCCGTTGAAGGCCATTATTTGGCTTAGAAATTGTGCTTGTAAAATGCAAACTTGGCCGTACAAAGCCATTCTCAGCTCAGTGTTGGACCAAAACATGCAACTAGATCAGTTCATATGATCCGTACCTAGATGTGAGCTGAAACAGCAATAATGTGCCTAATTTCACGATTTTTGTATACTGTTTCTTCGCAGTAAAGCTGCTCATAACTTCGCCTACAAAGGCGCTCTGCAGATACGGAAGGCAGATTTGAAATGAGCGTTCTATGCTGCATCGAATGGTATGCAGCTTGTTTGAATTGGCCACTTCGACTTCTGACCATTCCCTTGTAAGTATGAAAAATTATGAAATAATTATGTGAACTAAATGCGTGCTCAACTTTTTTCCGAGTTAGGTGGCTTTCAAGCCACCTGGATAGCCACCTGAGGTGGCTTAGAGAAGAAAAAGTCATAAATTTCAGTCATTAAAGTCATTTTCCTCACTCACATAATTTTTCTACTTTCTTCACATACTCTTCATCTACATCCCAAACCCTACAAACTGGTTCCTGCACCGCCTCAAACCCCCTTCTCCCCGCTTAGTTATAGCCCCTTGAAAATTTTGAATGGCGGCGGAAAGGCTGCTCTAAGCGCGTATTGCTGCACGATGGATACATCACGGATGGATACACCAATCCGGAGAATATGAATATCATCGTATGTGTTCGATGATTCATTTTCGTTTTTTCTTTCTATTGTGGCTTTGTTCCGTTCCTTTTCATGTATTTGCTCTTCGAATATCTCGTGGCGGATGTCGTAATTTCATTGGAGACAAAGGAAACTTCATTTTTTGCGATTTCGGGATGCCATCTCGTGCCGAGCCCTGGTCCAAGGTCAAAGGGGACTTCGTAAAAATTCGCAAAAGTCAAGGGGGACTTCGTTTTTTGCATTTTCAACTAGCCACCTCGTGCCGAGCCCTGATGATAACTAGGCATCTGGTAAACTGGGATTTCGCTAAACTCCTGTAAATTCAAGGGGATTTCGTATCAAAAACTTCTCGATGCCAGCTCGTGCCCAGCGCCCAGTACGAGGTGGCATACGAGAAATACAAGAACGAAGTCCCTTTGACATTGCAGAAAATTACGAGATACCTTTTGTAGAATTTATAGAAGTTCTTCTAATGATATAAAACGAAAAAAAGTGTAATGAAGTGAACCAGAATAAAAAGTGAGATGCAAAAAAAGGTTGTTTTTATATATTCAAGAGCCGTGACAAAGCATAGGGGACGAAACTTGTGTTGAGATGAGTACACATAGGTAGAGCGACTAAAGAATAGATATATTAAAAATCTTGGAAATTTATGCGAGAAAGGGGAGAATTGTGAAGATTCATGACTTTGTATGGTTCCGCGCAATCTCAATGCTCCCAAGTTGCGCGAGAGCAACTTAAAATCGAAAAACACTTACAACTCCTCTCGTTCACATAATTTTTCCATGAATTTTCGTATTTTTTAAAATCATCGTAGCGGATGTACACACCAAGTCTGGTGGCTCAATATTGCTTACTCATTGCAAACAAACCGATTGTTTATATAGAGATTGTGTTTTGACACGTTGAAATTGTGCGCACACAGGTTTATTCACTGATCGTGTTGTTGCCTGTGTCACATTCCTGGAAGTGATAAAATTGCGTTAGCACTTCAAATTCGGTCCGGCTAAGTTAAAGTAGTGCTTTCTGATAATCTTTCAGGTTTCCGGGTGGAAACTTTACGGGTTGCTCTTTGCTTTCCCCCAAAAAAGACATCCAGCTTGCAAGCTCACATGTGAAAGCGCCACTTCCGCTGAGCCCCGCACATGCCTCCTCTGAGTCGAAGAGGCGCAAAGTGTTTTTGCATAGCAAATGCTTCTATTGGCTGATTACCAAAAGTTCTTCAGATTTCTAAGAATAATCTGAAAATCAGCTTTTAGACTATTTAGGTAAGAACGTTGAACTAGAAACATCGGATATTATTTATGAGCGCTTTTTCTTTTAGGTAATCTTTCTGAATACGTAAATCTATATTTGATGTCGAAGTCGATTTCAGATTTGAGAAGTTTTCGGTAAAGATACGTTTTTCGTTTTTCGGCCCAAAATATCACTAGAGCGAGGTAGTTTAGTCAGATTCGGATCCACTTTATTTTCCTGGACGTAGCTTTTTTCCCATTTGTTTTTCGGTTTTATCAAGTTTGCGGTGAAATTTAGAAAAAAAGTTTGAAAATTCCAAAAAAGTAGAATTTTCTGGGTTGGGGTTTCTGCGGTTTTGGATTTGAGGTATCAAGCGAAACCGCCAGCATTCTCGGGAACAGCATGTCGGAAAACCCCTACATAGCATTTTTGAAATTTTTGCAGTAAAACCTACAAAGATGGTTTGAAATTCAAAGAGAAAAAATTCTCAGGTTTTCAAGCAAAACCAAAATCATATTTGGAAACAGCATACCAGAAAACCCTTAGATAGGAATTTTGAAGTTCTTGCCGAAAGTACAAAAAAGTCCAAAATTCAAAAAACTTAAGGTTTCAAACGAAACCATTATCATATTTGGAAACAGCATAATGGAATACCCCTAAAAACAAGCCTTCATCCTAATTGGACTGAATTTACTGCTGAACGCTATTTCGACAAAATCCCGGTTTTATAAACTGTAGGATGGTGACGGAGTTATGTGTGCAGAACCAGCTCGTCTTCGGTGCATTAGGCACGAATTAGCGGTGTTGCCAGTTCTTGACCTCTCATGAACTCCGCTAACTAGTGGCGGCAGGCCTATCAGGGTATGTAAGTTCCCTCACCCGACGGACTGAGGTTTTAGAGGACCGCGTTAAGGGCCGCGCATACTTCACGCAATTTCGATCGCGGCGCGATTTGGCAATATTCCAAGTGTCCATAACTCACTGTAAGCACATTTTGAATGTACAGAAGATAAGGCATGTTATCGATCCACGTAAGTTATACACACTATGCATGTGGAGTTTACTAGCGTTGGATCTGAAAACTACTGGCGAATTGCCAAATCGCGTCGCGACTGAAATCGCATGAAGTATGCCCGGCCCTTTATACTTAAAGGCAGTGTCCAGGCTAAACCTAACCCCTTCCGATTAGTGTCGATCCTGAATGTAGGCCCCAGAAAGGGAGCATCTACGTTGGTCCGGTCTTCTAACGTTGTCTCTGAATGGAGATAAGGGGCCTGAAAGGGGTGTAGGGCGATTCACACGACCGTAATGCTTTCCATGCAGGACCACCGCCGCGCGCGAAACACCCTGCGGCGGCTTTTGCCTAAGCAAAACAGGGGGAGGAAAGATTTGCGGCGTGCATTACAAGTTAAGACAAGTCAAAATCAGGGGGACACTGGAGACCGTCCGTGCGAAAAGACCGTCTCCCGCCTGAAAGCCCCTGGCTGGGCGGAGTCTGATATCAGACTCCGCCCATCAGGGACTGCTCACTACCTTGTCAATACGTGACTCCTGACACGTATTGACAAGGTAGTGAGAAGAAGCTGCACACTGCACACTGCAATGCAACTGCACCCATGCAGTTGCAGCTCCTTCCCGCTGGCCTGCCGACGGGGACAAGCGATTCAAAACTCGTCCGTGCCCTCAAGACTGGGTCCCCAAGAATCGGGTTTTTTGTGAATTTTAGAGAGTTTGAAGTTCGGAACTGTAATCAGGGTCACGGAAAGGCCCCAGAATGACGAAAACATGGGGGCCAAATTCTGGGTGGACGCTGCCTTTAAATGCAAGTGATCACTTGGAACTAATAATCTCAGATTTTCGCCGTTTTTCTGTTTGTCACATAACTGCAGCAATTTAAAAGTGTAGCCCATTTAGTGCTATCATAACAGGTATTCCGCGTGATTTTTGCTAATGCATTTGCGTGCAATGTCCAGAAAATATGTGATGCTGCTGTTTCATTTACAGATTCTTCTTTGCAGGGTCAAACCTCTCGACTCGTTATACTTCAACATTCGTGCCCTTCACTGTCCTGTCCCATTCAGTCCAGCTACAACGAACGTCTCAAACCTATTTAGAAAATACGCACAAAAAGGTGTGATGATATATGCTTATCCATATTTTGTCGTCGTTTTCTTGTTCTACCTTGGGTTGTATGAATCCTTCTTACAGAAATCGGCGCTGAAGATTGCTTCTCCGACCAGTACATCTCAATTCTTGCAAAATGTCATTTTGTGAGTCACTGCGATCATTCTTTTGGTATCTTTATCTTTCCAAAGCGAAGACGAAGGCCTTTGGGAGGATTTTCTGCAAAATCTAAATCTGAAAGTTTTAGTTGGTGCCTGTGCCAGACAGCGCTGTCGAACATGTTGGACCACAACTCACCAATAGAAAACTCTTGGTTGCTCCTCTCTCAGTATTGCAGAATCTCGGTCAGTATTTACTAGCTTCGTTCTCCATTAGAAAGCCATGAAAAGCTTTGAAAAATTAGTTATTGGCATTAATACGGGGATTTCGAGTCAGTCGTGACCTGAATTACACGGGACTACCATTTCACTTCGAGTCAATCTGGGAATTTAAACTGCTATGCTATATCAGTACTATATCAGTCGCCATTCATGACAATTTGAAAAATAAAAAGTAAATTAGTCTTTGGTCGGTTTAGATTGTATAGGGCATTCGAAAAATTGTGACGATGGCGCGACCGTGCGCAGCACGCACGCACTCCCAATTCTGAGTTTCTATCTCTATTCAAATAGTTTTCCTGCTTACATATGATAGTATTCAGGCACTGGGAGTGACTGAGCTTAGCGTTGAGGTGTTGCCTGTTTGTATGGGTGTTTTATCCTTCCATGTGCGAAAAGACCGCAGTCGACTCGTCGTCACGATTTTGAAAATGAACCATAACTATCTGCGGCCGCAAGTGGAATAATTCTTCAATAACCACATGTTCATAAATCGCACTGATAGTAATTTGAAAAATTGTAACTTATAGATCTGTTTACTAAATGTAAACGGCAACAGCGATGAGAATGTCATCGAAACTGCCTCATCTTCTTCTTTCAGAAATTATGTAGTTCATCCGGTGTACTTGGTTGAAAAAGTTGCAGGCGATTTTTAGAGCGTAACTTCTGTAGATGAGCAGCTAGGACGTTGGAAAGAGTGTGATTGAAATAGCCGTGTCCTCTGTTGCCAGAATGCACATTGGAGACAAGCTGTCACTTTGTTCTTCTACGACTTTATGTCGAACGTATTCCCTCTCAGATCGGCCGTTTTGAAGCAAGTAATTTCTTGGATAAACAGGCTTCTTGTACCAAATCAAAGAGGAGGAAGCTCCTTTGAATGGTGCTATAATAGTTTTGATCTAATTAAAAATTTTAATCCAAGTTTATCAGCGCAGTTTGCCAACCCATACATACCAGGTTGGCGCGGAATCTCTTGCGTAATTCGAACGAAATTCCATTACTTTCCTGATGGTTAACTTTAACTAGTCATTTCTTCCTCTACAATAGAAAAAGGCTTGCGTTTTAAAGCAGTTGACAAAGCATAGCTTTTCATAAGCTGGTCACCGGAACGGAAATTTCAAGTATGGCCTTTCAACTTTTGCGACTTTTGAGTCTGGTGACGGAAGACTGCGGAGGGCCGTCAGCTAATTGCAAAAAATGTAAAATTCCCTACACATAACAGCGGTCCAGACATTACTGAAGCAGGCTTCAGTCTTGCATAAATACAAAAAGCGAAAGTTTCATGAAAAATGACATGTCGCAAAAAATCCCCTTATCACCATATTTTCTTCGCCATAACACAGCTCGAAATAAAATTAAAAATTATGCATACCCGAAACACTCATTATCTGGGACTTCAAACAGTATTTGATGTAAAGTGCAATAATAAGGAATTATTTTCTGCTAGATGGTATTTTCATGAAATTTTTGCTTTCGCAGTTTCTTGCAAGTTTTAGCCTAGTACAGTAACATATGAACTGCTGCCAAGTAAGAAATTTTTACAAATTTTTCGGGGCTGGCTAGCGGCTCACGAAATGTTCTGACACCAAACTCAAAGTCTCAACTCAAAGTCTCAAAACCCGAAACGCAATATTTAAAAGTTTCGTTCTAGTTGGCTTGATTATGAAAAGCTACTCACATCTGATGGGTCGCAACATTCTACTATTTTCAAAAAAAACAATATCAAGAATTTAGGTTCACTATGGAAAGCTATCGAATTTCGTACGCAACAAAACTTTTGCGCCAGCCTAACATCATCAAAAAATTTCGGTTGCTCACAGTCATTTTCTGTGCATATCGTCTATTCTATGACTAGAAGACGTGAGACCGCATTGCGGACATTGTCTTTACAAGTTAGAGTTTGTTTTTCCCTGTTTAGAAAGAGTGAACGACCCGGACTAGATAAATAACAAGTATAAACCTGCTAACTACACAATTAGGCTTGTTTAGAGTTGTGTGGAAGCGGTCTCGCGTCTCCTAATCATAGAATGAATGATATCTCTAAATATCTAATTCGCAAATGTTGCAGGTAACGCACATGATGAACTGCGAGCTCGCGATACGCTAATTAAACTCTTAACTCTGGCATTCAATAAGACCGTCGAGACTCTCTTGAATAAATCCGTTTGTGAAGTTTGCCATGATTACTCCAAGATGATTGTTCTTTTATCAGACCCTTCGACCTGATCTGCTGCTGTGCATCGTCTTGCTTCTGAGAGTCCCCATTGTTTGCCGATTCGATGCCGCTTTGGTATCAACTCTATCGCAATCTCAACAAGATGTGATTTTTGACAATGAAAAATTGGAAACGTTCAGGTTTGTTTTAGATAATTTTGAAACTCAATCGTGGGACGTTGACTAATTGAGGTGTTTCTCCGAATCGGATCCATTCGAGTATCCTGTAAGCTATGGACAAATAGCTGACCATCTATCCGAGCTAGTTGGAGAGAAGTCTGATTCAAAAGTGACGACACCCAGTAAGTCTTTTTTTTTCTTCATTACAATATCCAGTTCAATTTGTGATCATGATGATGGGTGTATATGGCATGTTTACGGCGGTTAAAAATATTCAGTGTCTCCGTTATTCAAGCTATTATTCATGTTATTCATGTTCTCGTTCTCACGATGCCTTACCGCAAATATGGCTTTTGGCAAGCAAATATGTATTCCATCGAGATGTGACTTACTGGCAAAAGAGATGCCACAGATGTCTCAAGCAGCATTGAGGCTTCTATTTATGAGGGCAAGGATATAGACGTATCAAGGAATTCGTTTATATCTTCTTGCGTTTGTACAAATACCTTATTCTGCACAGATTTCCTATCCTCGGGGTAGTGTTCAGGCAAAGTTGGGCAAATGGACTAATGTGGATTTTGATCGAGAATCTCTAAGTGTTGCTAAAGCGGCTGTCCATATATTATGTCCTTGATCCTGCAATTTGACTCCAAACTCCAGCCCAGACCGTACTATTTCCACGCGATTAGCACCCTCGCATACGATCCGAGTTGCATACTGGAGTTGAGTACTCAGTCACGAAAGAACCATATGTGCTGCCGCTTGGACGACTGTCTAGCTAAGACCTTCCATTAGTTTTTTACACGTGAAGCCCACTTTACAATTTCATCAACACTGACTCAAAAATCCTTGGCATCGTTATGCATAGCGAAGTATTGCAAATATTAGATCACATTCAGGTGACCTGAGGTCCACAAATACTAGTCAGGTTTATACACGCGCAAAAAAAGTAGTTCTCAAAATTTTTTTGATTACTCTCTTCCCTCTGCAGTTGTGTACATCAAACTATAATTACTCAAGTTTTGATATGTTTACACGTAAGGATTAAGATCAGAAACCGACTGAACTAAACGAAGGTTAAGGTTAGTTCCCTTATCATTTTCCCAAACCACACAGTCTTCCCCCACTACCGATGTTTCCGTCTATGGGCAGGAGTGAGCAGGAATTGGATTTTCTTGAGTTTTGTTACTTTTACAATTTATTTTATTTTTTCTTATCAAAAGACTTGTTTACGTGGCGGTCTAGGGTTTAACAACGTAGCCGTGGCTAAGCTGACCTTGAAACGAGGCAAAACAAAATTGCCGCTCGGGCGCAGCCACTTTTCGTCAAAAGCAGCAATTATGAGTGGCGTTTAAGAGGCGGGAGTAGACAGCAGTCGCATGATGTGTGCCATATGTTTTTCTGTGGGTAAGGTAGTTGGGAAAGCTGAGTTTTATTGCAGTCTAAAAATGAATGAAACACATGATTCTCACTCCGTATGCAAATCACCATAAACATCTCTTGTGAAAGCTAAGATAACAATTTGAACTGCATTTGTTTCATGAATGCTGCCTCCTCTTACCATGCATTTTTCCTACCCAATAATTTTTATTTCATTGTAATAGCGCGAGTATTGTTGCACTTGAAGGAAAACTTCATTTTCAGACTGCAGGGTTGTAGCTCTTCAATAAATACGTGACACACATGAGAAATTAAATTTTAAACTTTGATTCTCCTTTTTTGGCAACTTTCAGTTGCATTTTTGAAGAGCCCAAATTTCAGTCCCTTCGTATGCACTAATGTTCCCGCAAATCTATGTGAAATTCTGAAAGACAAGGGAAAAACAGAGGTTGAAGTGTTCTCACGTAATTGGCCTATTGCTGCAAGCCATGTCCTTAAAGTTGATGATGACGATGGAAGCCCCTATTCTTTTTCTCATATACAAGGTGTCCCAAAAATGTGCCTACTGTTTGATCGCTAGTAACTCTCTTGCTTCATTGCTTCATCCACTGTTGGGGTACTATCTTGTAGAGCTGTGTTCAACTTAGATTTATTGTATGAAGTGAATAACCGATCTTTCTTCATTACTGTAGGATCACGGTGGTGACTTGCAGCAGATGCGATACTGGTTTGAAAAACAATTTCAAAAAATGGAAGATTGTGTAGCGAAGTTCACGCGAGCTAAGTTTGCTACACGACAGTTTACGAGTTTTTGAAGCTTTTTGAATGATGTAACCAGATTTTTGAGAAACAGGAAAAAAGCGGTTGTCACTGTACATCTGGCATGACTCATAAAAAAGCAGCACAGTAAAGTGCGAGTATCATATTTGGAATCAGTGACACAATTTATTTAGTGTAGGAGTTTTCAGCTCCTTTGATTACGTGTAAGGGATAAGATAGGCCTTCAAGGCCTCAAAATTCCTCAAAGTTCCTACCGTAATCCTACAGTAGTGAAAAAAGATTGGTAATTCGCTCCACACCATAAATCTAACAAGGGAAATTGTTCAGTCGAAGTGGCCTTTCTAAACATGATGTATACCCATATAGTAGGGCATTAAACGCTGATTCTAGAACTGCCTACCTTATCTGCAGAATGTTTGTGGATAAGGAGCTTACCCTCGATACATAGAGCCATGTACTCTGGTAACCTTCACTTTGAGGGCTATGAGGGGACACAACTTTCACCTGGGAAAAAAACAGAAGTCACACGGGGCTTCGCTCCGGATGTTATTATCTTGACTATATCGGAATAATGTGAATGAACCAAATAAGGAAAAAATATCTGAAGAATATTTCAGCGAAGCGAGAAATTGCTCTTTTAAAGCCTTTTTTACGCTGAAAAGAGAATTTCTGTGAAACTTTCCTTAGAATTCAGGACAACGTTCCTCAGTTAGCCTCTTACTTGACCAAAAATGAGTTTCAAAAGTTTTAAAAAGCTGTTGGAGTTGAACTAAAATGAGAAACTGCGCTTAAATGTGCGCAGAGGGTCGCGCACGAAAATGCTGGTCTATCTCGTTAGTAAGTGACCTTTAAAGCTTGGGTCGTTGTCAGCTCTCCTCGTCGTGGCATGACGGTCAGAATGATATATAATATTACACGGTTTCGTTGAGACCCCGACGAGATCTACGACCAGAGCCAAATGCCCCGTCGGCTCTGGTCTGTCTCCGCTGCTCGTCTGCGTCTCCGCGCGCTGCGCGTTACCTCGCTACCCCACACGCGGGGCGCGGGGCATTTGGCTCTGGTACCCTTTTCTTCGCTGTTTCGAGCCCAATTTTGACAAGCTATATATCGTTTTGAAGCTCTTGATCTCTACTTTTACGCTGACAACGTCCCAAAATCACATTTCTTGATTCAAACGAGAAATCCGGCAAAAACCTTGTTTTCGAAAATCTCTTGTTTTTCTTCTAGTTTACCTCTTTTTACGCGGTTTTTTCGTGCATTCTATAGATCTTGCTTCTGTTCATAATGCAGACAACCACCCAGTCTTTATCTCTTCGATTATTGTAGAAATTTCTGCGAAAAATCGTAAAAAGTGCGTTTTTCTCTACCTTGTTCTGTTTCAGTGCTTTCGCATCGATTTTCTTCCAGCTTGGGCGATTGTTGCTCGGAACAATAATCGCAACAATCTAGACAACGTCCCAGGAAACAGGAACGTAATGCGGGGTAAACATTCAAAGGACGCATCAAAAATCAAAACCCACGTTGCGAATTGCTGGTCCTGAAGCGAAAACTTGCACTTTGAAAAGCCGCCAAAAGAAAGATTTCAAGCCTCACTGCAGCGTTTTTATTCGGTTTTCAGCAGTTTTCTTTTGCTTTTTATATTTGTTTTATGTCATTTTCTCTTCTCTGCTAATCTTTAAACAACCTTCACTATTTATGACGTCAGATGTTCAAACAACCTTCACTTTTGATGCCCTGTCTCTAGACTATCGAAGGTATGATAAGTTATGAGCGTTTTTTGGAGCCAAAAATTGAATGTGCATCTCGGATAAAATGAGTTGTTAAAATCTTACTAGCCCTAGAATAATGCAACCAAGTGTGATATATTTTTCATTTCAGAGTATTTTTTGAACATAGTGCTATGATGAATATCACTGCTTCATTGAAGAATTGGAAAAAGTATTACGGCTACTTTTGTCCTACTTGCACATTCAATTTCTTGCTTCAATAAGCGCTTATAACTCCTCGCCCATAAACGTTTTGCAGATAAGGAAGGCAGATTTGGAATCAGCATTTTATGTATGCCCTTCAATATGGTATACAACCCATCTGAAAAGGCCTCTTCGACTAAACATGCATTCCTTGTAAGTTGAAGACAGCTCTGCAGTGTGGTACTTCAACAGCTGTACAAGACTTTAGAGCAAGGATATTAACGATCAAACACTAGGCATTTTTGGGACACCCTGTATATGTCAAAATGAGACTTTGTCGAGTTTCTGGTTATCTAATATATCGTAGTGCCAATTCAAAAAACATCAGATAGCGGTAAACCGTGGTGCGGCCCGAAGCGCGCGTATGCAGTCTAGCGCCTTCAATTACTGGTTCACTAGTCTAGGGGAAAAGATTGGAACAAAGCTTTTGTTACGGCGTAACAAAAGTCATGGTTGATTTGCTTTTTGGGATCTCAAACTAATCTTATATATAAAGCTGAATGTCTGTTTGTATGTCTGTCTGTATGTCTGTATGTCTGTCTGTATGTCTGTACGTATGTTCCGAATAGAAAATTCCATTTCTGAACCGATCGGGACCAAACTTGGCACACATACACTACGGGCCCCGGCGGGTGTCATAGGCCACTTTTCGTCATCGATCGATATCGATTTTATCAATTTTTTTGCAAAATTTGAGCTACGGGGCTGGGAGTTGGCACAGGGGGGTAATCGAGCATGCTGATCACCCCCGTGGGGGTGATCAGCATGCTCGATTACACCCCTCTGCCAAATTTCAGCCCCCTAGCTCAAATTTTGCAAAAAAATTGATAAAATCGACATCGATCGATAACGAAAAGTGGACTGTGACACCCGCCGGGGCCCGTAGTGTATGTGTGCCAAGTTTGGTCTGGATCGGTTAAGAAATGGAATTTTCTATTCGGAACATACGGCGGAGCCGGGTAAGCCAGCTAGTTCCTTATATGCGTTCAACAGCCGGAAACTCAATGAAAATAGTTCCAGTCAAAAATGAAAGTGCACTGATGTTTTACTTT